CATGGTCCCATGGGACACTACATCCATCCCAGCATCTCAGCATTCACGAGCCACCCGGTACCTTGAGGTATGTAGAAAAAAACATTTAAAACTGTGTCTATGTCTGAATCATCAAATCTCTCTGAATCTCCCTGAATTGATTCAGACGGTTCTGATTTGATTCAGAGAGATCAAAGTTTCTCCTGATTCAACTCGGATTTGGAGATTCGGCCACCGAATTGGTCCGAATCTCCACCGAATCAAATCAGCGACCGAAGTTTCCCACAGTCCTAAAGGATACACCTTTTTAAAAGTTTGTCTAATTAAATTGTCCTCCCAAAAATTAGTTTAATGGAAAACTAGGCTGTGAAACATGAATCGGGTCTGCCTCACTTCAGGACTTATTCCAGCCAGGACTCCATGAAATAGCCACCTTAGAGTTGTTGTTGTCGGGGGGGAGGGCGGGGCAGCAGGGGGGAGAGTGTTTGTTTTTGTGTTGTTTTTTGTTTTGTTTTGTTTGGTTGGTTTTGGTTTTTTTCCTGAATATAATTGGAAAAGATAAGTTTTGGTTTCAAACATATGGCTTAAACATATTTCATCACCTCTCTTTTTTCTGAGTAAAAACCCCTGCCTTTTCTGTTGCTAATTGTGATTTTTTGGTGGGTTTTTTTGTGGGATTTTTTGTTTAACTAAGAAAAGGTACAGCTGTAACAGCAGATGGAATTCTTCTGTGATTCAGATATCTTGCTTCTACAGCCCATTAAACCTTGAAGTCAATTTTGCATGTGTGTTTATAACCATTAACTAAAGATGACTAACCTGCCTTTGGAGTCTCTTTTGAAGCTGGGGAGCTTAGACTAGGAATAAGAATCATCTGTACGTTTGACCATATTAATTTTCACTCTAGTTTTTAATTGCATTTCATTTTACATGAGGGGGTTCTGAGAAGTCCAATGAACTACAACACCACCTGTGAAGTACTCCATTGTTACTGGTAAGAGTGAAATGAATGGGAAATATTGTCAACTGTAGACACCTTCAACCACAAGGAAGAAAATGTTATTTCTTTGAGACAATTTATCTACTCATATGTTATATTGAAAGAGTTTGGTCAAGAAGTTAATTGAATTACCTTTTTTCAGTTTCCAACCTTTATTCACAACTTTGTTTAAACCTGTAATTTAACCAAATGTTTCAGGACAGAAATGCTGCAGTTACCTCCCCCTCACACACACACTTTATTTTCACAGTTGTCTTGTGAGTTATAAAATATGACTTAGTTGAAATCCTGCTCATTGCCTGTAGCACAGTCAGACTTCCATCAACTCCCTCCCCAACTACCCAAAACCAAAAGCAAATGAAAAGCTATAGAGTTAATGATTCCAAAGTAAGCGTCCCTTATCACCCAGCTGTACTGCAGTCAAGGTGTATGCCTAGAGCTTCCTGTAGGTTATAGTTAGGGACCTACTGAAATTGCAATTTTGTGGATTTCATAGACATTGCAAAATGCATCATTGCCTGCGAAAGTGGACAATGTCCTTAAAATCCATGAAATCTGTGGGGGGAAAAAGAAAGACATCTTACTGAAAATAAAATGTTAGCACCCCAAAGTGAGCCAGCAGTCTTCACAGTGCTGCAGCCCAGTGGTGCAGCCCATTGGGGAGAAGGAGGAAGAGGGCTGTCCACATGAAGAACAGCCTAAGATGGCTGCCAGCCCTGCCCCTCACTGCTGATTAGCTAAAAGAGCTGCCTCTCATGTGGCCCTGCCCCTCTCCACCAATCAGTGGTAAGGGATGGATTGACATGATGGACAGCCCTCACAACCAGAGGTGAGGGGACAGAGCTGCATGATGGACGGCACTTGCAGCCAATCAGAGGTGATGGGTAAATTCAACAGGGCCCCTTACCCAATCAGAGGCATGGAGGGTCCCCACTGTAATCAGCCCATAAATATGACAGCTGGCCCTGCCATGATCTCCCTGTGAAATCGGCGTGCTACCTCCTCAAGTTAGGTAGGCCCCTAGTTATAGTGCATCAAGGGACAATACTGTGGAAGAACACCTGCAGCTATTGGCACTTTGTGCTCTAGTGATTCTAGGCAGTGCTGTGTTTATGAAAAGTTAAGGAGAATTGCTAAAATGAATCACAGATGCAAGCTTTCTTTAAATGGGCAAAAGAGGCACTTTGTATTGAGGTGATAATACTCAAATAAGGTTCTATAGGACCTCCTAGGACCTAGCATGCAACGTTCTGGCACCTAGCTCTCCATGTATCGGAAGAGACTGTTCCAAAACTTAACATTCTCTTGCATGTTTATCATTGGAATACAAGTGTCGAACTGAGCATAATGGATCACTATTAACTTATTTAGTGTGAGATTCTACCTCAGGGCCACAACCAACAATATTAAGCATCACCTTTATTGTCGCAGCATGTAAATGAATACCTATCACTTTTCAGAATAAATGAATACCAGTCCCTTACAAGGAAAGCCTATTAGCTTATTTCAGGCATGACACAGGAAGTGAAGGCAACAGACTGTCTGAAGTTTCCAAAAAACTTATCCTGCGTATGTTAAAAAAAAAAAAAATCTGACTTCTAGAAGAGCCTCGTCATGCATAAGGAGTTGAGTGGCTGAACTTTAGAATGCTAGTATATATAAGCAGCTTGATTTGTATTATCTAGCTTTTAAAATGTGCTACTCACTTTAGTATTTTCAACAAATAATTGTTGTAATATTTACAACAAATTACATTTGACTCCCAAATGCAAACAGCACTACAGAGTCCCCAAACTAGTATTAGAGCTCCTAGGTGCTACCATAGCAATAATAATAACAATAATAATGTGTTTTTGGCAATCAACAACAAATCATGTTGTGAAACAAGCTGAATTCTACATTCAAGAAAACAAGAATACTTGATGACAATTTCTGAACAGAAAGAATGAAAATTTGTCAAATAGCTGTCATGACTTAACCATCACATTTCTATAGGAAGAACAAACACGATTCTCATCAGGAGCCAATTTGACCATGGGTCAAAACAATTGTTCTGAGCAACAAAGGATTTCTCAGCCCACAACCTCTGTTTCCCACCTCCAATACATATAAAAGCCTTAAAGAAGTGGATGTTAGTTGTCAGATGTAACCAAAGATGGATTGCCCCTCCATTTTTCCCCAAATGGCTGGTACTGGAAAGGGGTACCCGTTCATTTCCTCATGAATCAATACATAAAAATATAAAAGCAAATACAAAATAGAGCTATTCAGGGGTTTGAAAATTGTTGCAGAATGCAGTTACAGGATCTTTAAAATGACTTCTAACACAATGCATTTTGTTACACTTATAGATGTAGCCAGACCCCAAGGATGGCTGCAACATCCCCTGCTGGTCAAGCAGCCTCTTCTCCACATTGGGTCCTTGGGGTTCCCTTTCTTTTTAACGTTTCCTGCCACACCTTGATGCATGTTATGAAGTATAGGGAGGGTCCTGAAATGAGCCCCAAATCCTTAACCAGCCATTCTCAGTCTTGCCCTCTAGGGTACTACACTATGGCCCTCTTAACCCTGTCAGTGCTTCAGGGCACCAGCCACCTTATGGACTCATAGCCTCATGTATTCATAGCCTCCATCCTTCCCTGTAGAAGGTCACTACCTATGCCTTGTGGATAGTTCTTGATCATTTTGAGTGGCCCCTTCAGATCCCCAGGGTCCCAGACTCAGGCAAGGCTGCTTGCATACCACTTAGTCTCCTGGGTCCATGTCCCAGGCTAGGCTGTTCTCATGCCACTCAGCCTCCTTATGGTCTCTGTCCCCTGCAGGACTCTATTCTGGGTGCCTCTCAGGTGTACTTGTGGCTCCATGCCACCCCTCTAGCCATAGGTGATAGAAGGCCAGGGTTAATGGGGCTTAGCCCCTCCTAAATTTTTTGCAGTGGCCAGTGACAGCAGCAGCAACACAGAGCTACCCTCCCCCAGTGCCTAGTATGGCTCGGCATGCAGCTGCTCCTTTACCACTACACACAGCACCACTGTGTGCCGGCCCACAATGGCCCTGCAGGAGGGAGGGGCGGGGGGGGAATCAGCCCCCCTGCAATATTTTTCCCCACAGTTTATGCAATATTTTTCCCCACAATCCACTCCACCTCTGGTATCAACTTAAATGCAAAGCAAATACAAGCAAATGCTTTCAAACAACCCCCCGCCCCCACCAGCCTGACTTTATATCATCTGGCAAACCCTATCTCCCTTTTGGCTTTCACTTCCCAGCTTTTATGGTCAGATTGGGTGTGTGCCAGGCTGTTTCTTTCATCCCCTCCCTCTCCAGAGCTCCACTCCCTGCAGAATACAGGGCTAAACTTCCAGCCTTGCTCCTGGTACTGGGCATATATGCCCTGGAGCACTTCACCTTGTGGTCAGGTGACTTCCTAATTAAGCACAGGGGTTTTGCCTTGGGTTTCATGGTCAGTCTGCCCTTCCCTGCTACTGCTTTACCCAGCTGCTTGCAGCTTTTTCTTTCAGGGTGTCTGGGATTTTGCCCCGCACTGTAAGCTTGTTGCAGTGCAGCTGGCAGCTGGCTTTTGCTCAGCTGCCAGCCTACTGCAAGGCTAGCCTGCTGCACTGTCCTTTAATGTAACAGGAGCCTCTAGCTCCCTGTTACAATATATATTAAGCCAAGGGAGTATATTGCTACGTGTTGCAAATCCATCTAAATATTTTCCACAGTCATTTCCTAACAGCTTCTTAGAAAATCACATTAATTGTGTCTATCAGAAATTAGCATAATATATTCTGTTTCCTTAAATCATTTCACTGACCAACTATAAATGCAAAAACATATATTTTTTTTATGTTTTCTTTCTTTTTTCTTTTTTCATAAAGTGTATGCTTCTTCCTCTCCATCTAAGAAAATTATTTCACTGCTATTTCAAATTTTTCTGAATGGCTTTCAACAAAACGATAAAGGATAAGATTAACTTATGTGATATTTAGCCTAGTTAAAAAAATGCAGATATTCTTACCTTTTCCAGTTTGGATAGAGCAAGAGAGTAGCAGTCTTTGGCTCTGAACTGCATGAATCTCATATTGGCTGGGTGAGTTAATTCAGTGATAATGCTTAGACTTGAAAACAACCTATATTTTAAAGAAATGTTACAGTTACACCTCTAAAGATCACAGTTTGCTGTTATAAGGACTGCATAATGCTGTACTATATGCACACCTCAATATCTATAATTAAGTCAATGAAAATTCCAGCTTTTGGCAAAAGAAAACATAGCTGTAATAGCAGAGAATGATGCAGAAAACCTATTCCACAGATACAGAGAGAAACAAGTGTCATATTTGCAAAAGTGGAGCTTGTAGAACATTTTACCAGAGTAAAGAAAATGTGTTATAATTGTTTGAGCTTTTAGTATGACCCAAATCTATACAACCCCCCCCCCCCCCCCCCAGTTCTAAGATTGAAGCACCTTCGTTGGAAGGCTGCAAACAGCCACTACATTTACAAAAAAAGGTTTTACAAGTTGATTTTTTTCTATACTTACATGCTATGTAAATGTGTCTGCAGACTGAACTGATTGATAGTAAGTATCAAAGTACTTATTAATGTACAACTGAAATTGATTAAAAATCAGTGATGTAAATCAATGAGTAAATCAAATGGGCCCTAAAATTATGTTTTGAAATATTTACATGCCTAAAATGTGAATAAATTTGAGAAGTGTATTGCATTGACACCATTTCAGTAGCAGCTGCCTAACTGTTAAATTTATGAATAACCTTTAAGGTCATGTGCCAAAAATAGAGTAGCTAGGGACATAGTCATGCCTAAGAATGTTCAAGGGCAATTTTTAAGAGGTGGAGTTCAAAACTGCACTGGGCCAGGAGAGACCTGCCTGAACACAGACTTGGGCATATTATAATCTCAACTAGAAGCACAATAGGGGAGCTCCATGCCCAGGGAAGCTGTATTGCATGGGGCAGTGCCAGCTATGCAGTGCTGATGGTAGAGGCAGGCAGCTCCCACTGCTATAGTCGCTATTTTTGCACACACACCTCTTCCCATTAAGGTGGTATCTGGGACTGCTGCCCCGGTCAACCTCCCCATCTCAGTTCCACTACTGATCACAACTAATGAAAGTCCCTGTGCCTTATTACAGTGTAACTATGTAAGACCAACACTAAGTCTTCCAAGTAGTCATATGGTAAACTGGCAAAACACAAAACTGTCTGTGTAGATGTGTTTTAGGGTCTGTCTCAATGGAGTTTCAAAGTGTCTAGAACTGCGAACTGTGAATTAATCTAGTAATGAATCATGGGACTAAACATAACTGGGTTTGCTCTAAGGCTTCTAGGTTGAATATAATAGCAAACACAGAAAGTAAACCAGGCAGATTGCAGACAGTTCACACATCAGTTTGCAGTTCAGTTTGCTACCCCCCTTCTTTGAGGGAGAGCCTGTAAGGTAAGTTGTTTTTTTTTTCTCTCTCTCTTTTTCATATGTAATTAAGACTAAGTAACCTATATAGTTTTATTTTAAGCAGCTAACTCCTGATCATTGCGCCATATTTCCAGGGTCATTATTAAAGATTAATACTTAGGCCCCTTGTTTAACTAGAGTCCAGAATGAGGGGAGTTTGCTAGGGAGTTTGCTTGGAAGCTCTCTCCTTCAGTGTAAGCTTGCTGAGAGGAAAGAGCTTTTCAAGGAAAAGGAAACCCTTTAAGATCAAGGTCAGCAAACAGGCCAACTACAGAGGAGTTTGCAAGGGAAGGTTGGCTTGGAAAGAGAGGCAGAAAGTGAAAGGCAGCAGATTAGAAGACCCAGAGAGATGGTTGGAGGACGTCACAATCTCAGATTCACTGCCACTGCCACTTCCAGTTCTTCCTCTGCTTGCCACTGCCATGAAGAGGAAGCAATGGGTGGTGGTGGTTGGAGATTCCCTTTTGCAGGGGATGGAGAGTAGGGCTGTGCAAAGCTTTGGATCATGATTTGGATTTGGAGATGATTCAGATGATTTGGAGGCCAAATCTATGAATCTGGATTGAATCACTAGAAGCTTTAGGCTTTCTCAATCAATTTGGAGCTTCCGAATAGATTCAGAAAAGATTCGGGAAAGATTCAGCAATTCAGAGATTTGGCCATAGGGTATAATGGGGAATCAATTAAACATCTATAACTTTGTTGTTTTTTTACTGTTTCAGATGAAACTTGCAATAATGGTAGCTACTGCTGAGGACACAAAGCCTGCCAAGTTTCAAGGTGATGGGTGCAGGGGTTTCTGGGCACCTGCACCTCAAATTCTGAAAGCAAAACTCATGTCACATGTGTATGTTAAGCCACAGCAGGGTGAAAGTTGCAGGGATGGTAGCACTTTCTGAAGCCACAAAGTCTGTCAAGGTTCAAGGAAAGAGGTGCAGGGGTTTCTGGGAAACTGCACCTCAAGCTGCTGACAAGCAAAACTCATGGCACGTGTGTGTGTTAAGCCACAGTGGGGTGAAAACAGCAGGGGGAGTCTGGGTTCTGAGGCCCTGCACATCTGGCCACAGGCAGGCAAAACTCGGACATCTGACCCCCCAGGTATCTCTGCACTTTTACCTGGATGGGGGGTGGGAGGGTCCTGGATGTTTGGAAAAGGACAAATATAGTGCCTATCTTTAAGAAAGTGAAGGAGGATCCAGGGAAATACAGAACAGTCAGCCTCACCTCAGCCTCACCTCAGTCCCTGGAAAAATCATGGGTCTTCAAGGAATACATTTTAATCACTTGGAGGAGAAGAAAGTGATCAGGACCAGTCATCATGGATTCACCAATGGCAAGTCATGCCTGCACAATGTGATTGCCTTTTTTGATGATATGACTGGCTTTGTGGATGCAGGGAAAGCAGTGGACATGATATACCTTGACTTTAGCAAGAGTTTTGATACGGTCTCCCACAGCATTCTTGTAAGTAAGCTGGAGAATTAAGGGTTGGATGAATGGACTGTATGGTGGATAGAAAGCTGGCTTTTGTCAGGCTTGTCAGGCTCAGTGGGTAGTGATCAATGGCTCAATGCCAGTTGGAAGGTGGTATCAAGTGGAGTGCCCCAGGTGTCAGTCCTGGGGCTGGTTCTGTTCAATATCTTCATTAATGATCTGGAAAATGGGATGGAGTGCACCCTCAGCAAGTTCACAAGTGACACCAACTTCTGGGGGGAGTAGTAGATACACTGGGGGGTAGGGCTAGGATTCAGAGTGACCTAGACAAATTGGGGAATTGGACCAAAAGAAATCTTATGAGGTTCAACAAGAACAAGTGCAATGTCCTACATTAAGGATAGAACAATCCTGTGAACTGCTACAGGATTGGGACCAATTGGCTAAAGAGCAGCTCTGCAGAAGAGGACCTGGGGGCTACAGTGGACAATAAGCTGAATATAAGCCAACAGGATACCTTTGGTGCCAAGAAGGCTAACAGATTACTGGGCTACATTAGTAGGAGTATTGCCAGCTGATTGACGGAAGTAGTTATTCCTCCCTGTTGTGCACATGTGAGGCCACATCTGGAGTACTGTGTCCAGTTTTGCCCCCCGCCCCCCCCTCCCCCCATACAGAGAGGATGTGAACTAGTTGTAGAGAGTACGGGGGGGGGAGCAACAAAAATGGTGACGGGGCTGGGGAACATGACTAATGAGGAGAGGCTAAGGGAGCTGGTCTTATTTATTTTGCAGAAGAGAAGACTGGTGGGGGATTTGATGCCAGCCTTCAACTACCTAAAGGGTAGTTCTAAAGAGGATGTAGCTAGGCTGTTCTCAGTACTGCCAGATGACAGAACAAGAAGCAATGGCCTCAAGTTACAGTAAGGGAAGAACTTAAGTGTGGTTACCTAGTGGGGTGGTGGAATCTTCAACCTTAGAGGTTTTTAAGGCCTCGTTCAACAAAGCCCTGGCTGGAATGAACAAGTAGGGAGGGGATGATCCTTCTTTGAGCAGGGGATTGGACTAGATGACCTCCTGAGGTTCCTTTCAACCTTAATTTTCTATGATTCTATGATAACAATTAAATGGCTCTTTAAAAACTAGAACTTCTGCAAATGAGGCTTGGATTGCCCATATTCAGTAAATAACTGTACATTAATTTTAATAGAAATTAACTTTCCAGACTCTTAGTTTGATATGGTGAACTGTTCATTGCTTTCTTTTTTCTCTACAATAAAAGAGAACTGTCACACTATGATTCAATATTCAAACCCACCATCGCAATCACCTAGAAGATCTGATGCATTAGGATAAAGATCTGATCTGCTCTAGTTTTGGCTTTCTACAACCCAGCTAACAACGATCATATGCACTTGCAGCCTGATTTTAGAAGTGAATACTTAGAAGTCCCACTGAAGCCAGTCACTGGAAGCTATGAGTACTCGACTACTAAAAAAATCAGTCATCTAGTGCTGAACAACTGGCTAGTTTCATAATAAAAAGCAGGA